TTTCAGTACTAACTTTCTGAAAAAGATCTTTAAAAACCAAGCATGTGGGAAATAGTGRTACTGAATTGTGAGCAAAAACTCTCCATGCTGTGTGACTGAAAATTCTGTCTGAAATTCCTGGATGGTGGTGTCCCAATGGCTTTGGCTCTGCCTGCAGTGTCATTTTCTGTGCTGGACTGGAGTTTGTTTCCCAAGACTAGCCCTTGTTTGATTCCCTAAGCTGTAGCTTGAACAGTTGAAGCTCAWCATCCTGTCTGCTTAACTCCCTTTATGGATTCAGGTGTGAAGAACATGGATATAATTCTTCAATAATTTCATGACCTKGCTATGTCAATATTTAATTTTACTGTATCATCATCACTTACGCCATGTGCTTGATGGTAGCTGGGGGTCTTGCAGTTAAACTCTTTCATTTACCACTGTCAAGTTTTGGTAATGCTGGGAGTTCTCTTCTGGAAGTTCCTTATATCACAGTATCCTTAAATGCTTATATTAATAACAGATCTGTGGAAGTTTTAATCTACTGCTGAGTATTATAAGTGTTCATAATGTTCATGCAAATTGTACTAGATTGCTGCAAGGGAGAAAAAAAAAGGGACTGTGATAAAATCTCTACAGGAATGTGATGTGTGTTTCAGGAGTGCTCTTCTCTAGTCTCAGTGCTTTAGACTTTAATTTTGTTTTGATCCTCAAAATAAATATCCCTCTCGTCAATACACCCCTGCCTCAACCCTCCCATTCACTGGTACTGTTCTTATTTTCATAGCCATTATGGCTTGTGCCTGGAGAACACTTTTGATCCTACCATCAAAACAGCTTTTCTGATGCTAAGCAAGCCCTTCTCTCTTTAGATCTGTTTAATAACAGAAGTGAATGAACCAAGATAATTGGATTTGAAGTAAAAGTTGTCATTTACACGTATTCCATTTGATTTTTTTCATCTTCTTCCTTTTCCTTTTTGTACTTTAAAGAAAAAAGCGAAGTGATTATATAAAAAAACCCAAACAATAAAAAGCAAACCAAAGCAACCCCACCACCAMCATCCCTCAAACATAAACTGAGCTGGCAATGATCTTCTGACTAACTTAAAAGCTGAATTTAAAAATCAGACCATTTATATTACTGAAGGAGTCACCTTCCTCAGTCTATAAAACATTGGTTAATRTACATCATCTCGTTTCTGGTTCTTTATACATTGAAGTTTGCTTTTTTCAATTGTTGAAATTTCTAGGATTGTTGTTATTGGATGGTTTTTTCTTGGGGTGAGGGGTTTTTTTTGTTTGGGTTTGGGTTGAAGTTTTTATTTCTTTTTTAGCGTGAAGAACTGGAGACAATTCCTTTTATCAGGTTGATTCTGTATTTTCAAAATTTTAGTGCAGAGAACTCTTCCTTGGGATTCCTGGTTCCTTCCAGGCCATGCCACCACCCTTTCAGGATACACTCCATGAAGGCTCTTACATAACTGTTTACTTCTTCTTTACTTTCTGTAATTCTTCTTTACTTTCTTGGCCCTCTTGTAAGGTAACATTTCACTGTTGTACAGGACTGTTCTKCCTTGTTAAAAGGACACGTTTTCTTTGGCTTGACTTGAGTGCGGTTATGGTAATACCATGCCAAGAGGCTGTTTCCTCACAGCCTTTGCTAACAAGGTGTGTGAGGGGCAGATACYGAGTGCCATCTTCCTGGTTCCTAAAGTGCTGCCTCTCCTTTAATGTTAGAACTTTTGGATGCCACAATGCCATTTGACGGTGCAGTGGTGTCACTGTGTGAAGAGAGAAGGTGTGGCATAGTGCAGTCTTCTCTCTGGGAAGGTTTCCTTGGAGCAGCTTCTGCYGTGACTCTTCCTCAGGCAAGCCCCAATTATGGAGGGAGCAGCTCAGAACCAGTGTGGTGCCTCACTGAGCAGCAGTCTGAACTGCTGAATTTGATAGAAATTAATCTGAGAGGGACCATGTCAACAGGCTAAACTCAAAACTGACCTGCTAAACTTCTTCAAGGCTAATGTTCCATTACCAAGGGTAAGATACACACTGCTGGATACCAGGCTGTGACAGAGCACAGACCTGGACGGCAGCTTCCCTCCTGTCTGTCACTCTGCTCCAAAAAGCACTTCAGAAAAATCTGGCTCTATAAAGCTCATCTTGCTCTATTGCTGAGAATGGGCTCACTTATTCCAAATTTCCAGATGTTGTTTTGGCAGTGTGACAGACATGCTCAGCTACCAGAATTCGTTGGGTTTCTTTCTGACAGACTTCTGTCTCCAAAACAATGTTTTCCATGCTAATAGCCTGGACAATGGTCAAAGGTTTTCCTAGCAGAGCTGACTGAAAAGAATGCAGACTATTTAAAAGTCCATCTGAGATCATTTGCTACTTTGACATTCTCCTATGCATGGATTGTTTTTTAACCAAATGGGAAGTCATATTATAAAATTTTGGAGCGTTGAGGTTTTGTTTACTTACACTGTGAGTATGCGAAACTTTTATTACTCTGGATAGGAGGGAGTCTTTTCTGCRGAAAAGAACGTTGGCTCCCACCAGTCTTTTAAATATCTCTTTCATCCCTTTTTATGGAAGATTGTCCTATCTTAAGTTATTTAAAGTGGTGATTCATAGTTTCTTCTTGGTCAGTTTTGTGTTTTGGGTTGGGTTTTTTTTAAACTGTTGACTGGAAAGAAAAAATGAGAGGAGTAAAGTACAACCTATTAATCTAATCATTTAATATTATCTTGCAATTCTTATCAGTTACAAGGAATGTGAGACAAAAAGAAAGAAGATACAAACATGTCTGAGAAAGCTTACTGTGAAGGCAATAGAACTGAGAGTGGTAATTTCAGCTCATGAGGCCTGGAAAATCAAGGTCCAGAACTATTTTGGTCATGTGTGCCATTTTCTCTGAATTTTCAGGAAGTTTGATCTACCTATTTTCCCAGAGGTCAGTTGGACATTAAATTCAGGGTTATTAAAGTGAAACTTCAATTTTTATTTAGGCTTTAAATATCCAATTCAGATTGTGACTGCACTTTTTTCTGTTAAATATGTTTTAAGGGATTTTTTTTTTTCATTTTCATTAGCACCACGTAAGTACTTATTTCTGTGTTTCATTCCTCTCAGAAAGGAAAAGCATCTTTCAAAGTAGTCTGCTACATGGGTCAAGGTACAAATTCCATCAACCTGACAGTGCTAATTTTTCTTTGTCATTGATTCCTGGAGGGAATCTTCCCTACCACCAGCTATTGGTACAGCAAAAGTGAGAGATATTAGTAATTATGTAAAATTATTTTCAGAGTCATCTTAAAGGGAAACTGCTCTCACAAATMCTTTGGATTTTTTGATCACATGTAGTAAAAGCTAAGAATGCATTTTCTGCCTTCCACATCTCTGAAGGCAAACAACATACAGTAAACAAAATAATTAGATTCCTTCCTTCTTTGTATTTACAAATAAGTTGAGAAGAAAATCTCACAAGCACAGGTATGATAAATAAAACTTTGGTTTCTGTACTCTTACTTTTTTGTTTACTCCATTATCCTTTACTGTTACAGGAAGCCTAGTATTATTAAAAAGCAAACAAAAAATCCAAACCTTAAAATGCCTGTTTTAAAGCTGTTACTATACTGTAGGATATATGTACGCACAGAGTTAAATTGCTTCACTTTATCCTTACATATTTAACATTATTTGTAAAGTGGACTTCTTCATCTCTTTACAGTAACATGATTCTGTAATGCAGTATTTTAAGAGTCCTTTTCAAGTGGTTTAATAGAGGTTCTGTGAGATGCATTGACTTTACTTGTATTTCTTGCATACTTCTTTTGAGCAATACCTTACATTTGAGAATATAACCATTTTATCTAAAACTGATGAGGTTAAGGGGGAGATATTAAAAACCTGTCTGTTGAGTGGTGGTTCTTCCTCATTCATTGAATGCTGATCTGAAATGAAGTGGCTGTTGGGCGATTAAGAAGACATGCATGGCAGAGGAGAACCAAATTTCTTGCTTTTTGAGCATAAAGAATAAGCAAATTCATTAAGGGCTGATACTTCTTGTTACTAACGGGTGGCTAATGTTGGAATTCTCTTGGGATACTTAAAATATTTGAAATAGTTATTAACAAGTAGAGTTCTTACTTCTCTAACTCATAATTACAGGATCTTCTATTACAGATTCATTGCTACTTATCCCTGTAATGTGCCCATTGTTCAGGGCAAGAACTCTGTTAAATGTAAACTTATCAGAAGTCTTAAGTGTTTGACTTTTAAACTGTTATGTTAATCATAAAGCAAAGAATCTGGAAGCAAACATGACTATCACTTATCCACATTTTATATCTCCCAGGTCGTTAGGCTGTTTTTTTAAATAAGCAAATAAATACTACTTACRTGGAGAAAGTAGTCCTTTTAGAATGATCCAAAACTAACCATAATATTTAATATACCTAGCCTCCCACTTTATTTGGCATCATRTGTAATTGGTTTCCCTTTCTGCAAACTGCAGCACCATCCACACCAAAAGAGAACTTGCAATTATTTTCGTTTGTCTTAGATTTAATGATTCCAGTCTTTCCCTTTTTTTCCTGATGTTACACTGGCTATTAAAGAATACCCTTCTGATGAATGGATGCAATTACTGCTATATGTTTTTCCACCAATTTTGATTTCTCAAGACAGAATTGGAGGAGAAGCCTTATTTTGCAAGTCTGGAGAACACAGTTGTTAGAGCTTTCCACATTTTTGCATAGAGCAGTAGAGCACCATTGGTGTTGCACAGTGCCACCTTTTTGTTTGCTTGAACACCCAACAGAGTTTGGATTGTGAAAAGAACCCTTCAGGCTGATAAACAGTCATGGTTGTTGACTTACTAAAAGATAATTCTAAGCCATGAATATGCCAAAGCTGGAAATCGTGCTCTGACTTTCTGTTTTTCTCCTTGCTTGTTCTTTCACCTTGTATGTGGCTGCATTTATTTATGGGGTTTTCCCTGCTGTTCTTTGGTTTCAGATGCGAGTGTCTCACTGGTTTATGTGGTTTCCCCATGTGCGAGGCAGGCTCCGTTCCCCAGATAGTCTCACGTGGAGATGGAACACCTGGCAAGTGCTGTGATGTCTTTGAATGTGTCAATGGTATGTGAAACTTTCTCTTGCACCTGAAGAGGAGGGGTTTGTGTGTCTCTGGGGGATGCTGGGCATTTGGTTATTTTTATTACGTTGTTAAGAACTCAGAGAAGTTTTTTTTTTTTTTCCTGAAGTTCATTCAGTAAGAAGGAACTTGAAGTATTGGTGAAGATACTGAAGTGGGAAGCTGTCATTTTCAAGTTGTGATGATGCTTTACTTTCTGAAGCACTTTTCTCTGAGACTCAGGGAATTCTGGTTTTAGCAAGACTCCCCCACTGTATGTTTTCCAGGAAGCCTTTTACCAGTTGCAAACATTAGAGGCCTTCTAAAAATGAGATTTTGGCTAACTATCTCAGCTGCTTGTGGCAGCACTGTGAGTGAAAGCCTGCTGTTTAGACCATAAGATTTGCCTTAAGAATCAATTGCAAAGTAATTTTTAACACAAGTATACAACCTTTGGAAATGATAAGGCAGTGTAGGAAGAGATCTATTCTGGTTCTTTGCTTCCCAAGCTAAATGTTTAGAAAACACTTTAAAAACTTGAATTTGCTAAGCAAGTGACTATCTCAGGACTGTTCTATGTATGGAACTGTATATATGCTGTATTTGGTRAGTTGTGAAGGACCAGTATTTGACTGTTGGTAAGGGGAAAAATACCCTTGAAGCACTGTGTAATAATTTCTGAGCAGAAATAATTACAAACCAGTGCAGTATTTATTAATATTTATTCAGTAATATTTGATCTTTAGTTGTGTACATATCTTTTGTTTGAAACAGCCTTTTATTTTACAATTATCATTGCAAATGGAGAAAGAGAGAGAGATATATTTCTCCAGGAGAATGTTTGTGTTGTTTACACATAGMAAAATTTTAAATATGACATCTCAAAGGCACAAACCACCTTGCTAATTGCTTCTCTTCAGTCTGCATGTTCTTTGTGGATTCTGCTGACAAAATTGTTTCAGTGTGTATATTGTAGCAGGTGTGAGATGGAGCTGCTTAAATTGCCCACATTTTTTGTGGCATCTTCATGTTGTATTTCTAAGTAGAAGTTAGGTTCATTTTTCRTTGGTAATAGTGAATTTGGACTGTCTTAGCACTGCTGCCATGGGCATCATTGCCTTATTGTGCACTGTAACTCATTCCAAAAATCCAAGCTGTTTTTGGAACAAGATTCCTTTTTCCCTCTCAGGCCTTCCCATACCTTCCCATACCTATAATAGTAGCCTATTAATACAGAGTAAATAGGAAGAAAAAGAAGTTTTTGAAGGGAAGAAAGGCCAGAYTGGAGAAAAATTAGGCTTTTTAGGTTTGTCTTGTATAGGTCCTTAAAAAGCAGTTTTAATATATTCCAGGCCACTATCAAAGTTATCTTGAACAAGTTGCTCTTTAAAAACGAAAATAATTCTGATAAAGCTGGTCAGAAAACTTACATACTCTTTWTTATAAAAACACATTTGCCATAATGTTAATTAATGCTGCAATCTAATTTTTAAAAAATAATGCTGTATGATGTGACTTTAAAGTGCTTCRAGTAAAATTCCAGGTGCAGTTATTAATGATGCTTCACTTTGGAAAGAGGAAATAGTTATAAAMCTGAAGATGATAAATAGTTTGAGTAACAATCTGTGAGCAATTGGGAAATTGCTCAGGAGTGTGTGGCATTTGGATTGTGTGGCAGATCAGTGGTATAGAAGACAGRATGGTCATAGAACACAATCTGCATTGCTTTATAATTTGGGTTTTTCAAATGTATTTTARCATGTTTAGGTGGTTTTTATTTCAGGGATAACTACTACCAACAAGTCCTCTAAACCCTCTAAATTCCTAGAAAACTAATTCTGACATGAACTTCTAGATAGATGTTTTAATACAATGACAAACTGATAAGTGTGTGTGTGTGTGTGTGTGTGTGTAATAAATCCCTACCGTTACTTCTTCAGTTTAAAATGAAGAGGAGGGGGGAATGTTCTTGGTGAAACTGATACATGAATTTAATATCCAGTTGTGTTTTTTTAAAGTATTTTGAAATACTAACAAGTGCAGAGGAGATACAATTGATACCAATAACAGATGGAGAAAATGTCTTTCAGTGATAGGCTTAAAAAATTTTCTTTGCTTCATTAAAAAAAATTGCCTTCAAAGTAAGAAGAGTCAAATCTGTAAGATCTAGGACAAGCTGTTCTCAGCAGTGAGGGTGGCTAGCTGTTGGCACAAACTGCTGAGAGGATGCTGAATTCCTTAACTTCATCCTTTCCAATTAGGATTAGATGCCTTTTTAAAGCATGTGTTTTAATCAAATGCAATTTAATGAGTTTATAGATGTTAAGTGGGGAAGTTGTATAATCAGCATTACTTCTGTGTCTGAAAACCTCTGAAAACAAGCAAGAGGATGGATGAAAAAATAAATGTGCACACTCACATTAGTATCATTTTCCYGCTCTTATAACATCTATTGAATTAAATAATTAAAGAATTAAAATAATTTAATAATTTTTTGGCAGTGAGAGGAGCAATCAGGAAGAAYACTGATCATCATTACCTTAAAGTAAGGGTATCCACTACTAATTAGCATGTGTGGACTGCCAAAAATCCAGTTTCTATATTTAGGTAAGCCTAATAATGGGCAGAGAGTTAAAACAGACTCCTGCAATAGTTACTGCAATTTTGTGCTGATGAAATAGATGCAGAGTTACATGTTCGGAGTATGGGTGGGTTGGCTTTACTGTGCAGGGAAGAGCTCCACTCTGGTTGTAGAGTGGCCAATGTTGAGGRGATAGTTAATAATGGCAGCAAAATACCTGTCATGGAGAGGCTCTGCGATATGTTCTCTTTGTTGTTTGTGAGCAGTTTTGGTTGGGACAGATCAATTATTCTTTCACAAATTATTTTCCTGGATTTAATATAAAACTGTTTTAGAAGCTCTACGATATATACATATATAGATTTTGTATGGTTTTGTTTGTTACTGCTACACACTGTCTCAAACTAGCTTTTGGTTAATCTGTTTTAGAAAAGCATGTTAATCTGTGGCAAAATAAATTTCTGCAGTAATTACTTCTTCTGCAGATTGTGGAATTGTTTTTGCWATTTGATTATAAATACAGCATTAAGTCCATGCACTAACCTTTATTTTCCTGATTAAGATTTATATTGGGTGTGTCCTTATGCTTCACAACATGTGCAATCTGCTGTTTCTCATAGTTTATTCTATAATTATATAGGCATAAATCACCAAAATAACATTTATTCCTGCTTGGAAARTGATCCTGGTATTTTCATTTAATTGGAGCTTTTTGTTAAGTACCTACTGTCTGYAACTGTCCAATCTTTGCATAGGTCAGACTTCTTTTTGGATTTTTAATGCGAAAAATAAATTTAGAAAATGCTGAGAACAACTTTCTTATTGGTGAGGAAAAAAACTTACATTGCTGATAGATTACAGTAGTTCTGTGTGATATTTTAATAATCAAAAATGTATGCAGATATTAGAGTATTTTACGTAAAACTGTTATACTAACTGGAGACATAAAGTGTGCTTTTTAAAGCATTGCTGTATTTAAAGGATTTCATTGTTACTGTTAATGCTTACTGTCATTGGAATGTGCTTCCTGTTCCAAAGGTCAGTCAATTTAAAAGATCAATTTTAAGGCATGCATTAATTCTGTGTTGTTAAATGCTGGTAGGGATCAAACCAAAGCTCCCTTTTGACTTGATGAGGTTCCTTGTCATGATATATCTAGGGTGAGTATTTCAGCCATCCCTGAGCATAGCCTGCCKGCTCTTTGAGTGTCAAAATGAGAGTCAGACAACAATGATGGCTGAAACATTGTTATTTCTTTTTGCTTTTTACTTGTCTGTGGAAAGGTCTTTACTGTTTAATTTGTAACCTAAACCTTGCAACTCTGTGCAACTGTTGGTAAACAGTGATTTAAAATGCAACGGTGATATGATTTTGTCAGTCATCTGCGCTTTTTTGATGGCTGGCTGGCCGTTTCTCCTAATCTTATGTTCTTGATGACCATCAGAGAAAGCCTTAGTTTGTGCATATAACACAATTTTAGCATGAAGGAGACAGAAGCATGAATTGTTAAATTTAAATCTCTGGCTACTATAAAATAGTATCACTAGAGGTATAGCTGGTACAAGTGAAACATCACTGCTTTTTGCATAGGGGAATCAGAGATTTGCACACTGGTGTTCTGTAGTTACATTTTCAGGGAAGAGCTATATCCATAGTCAAATGTACTCATTCCTGAGAAGTGTGAAGTTCGTATAAAGGAAATAAGGCAACATGGGAAATCTATAGCAAATAATTTCATCTTACTGTATGAAACTCAAAAAAGAGGTTTTTGTCTGTTGTGTGGTTCGGCTGCCCTGTTTCAGGGAAAGTGAGAGTTACTATTGCTTTGTTCAAAGGTGGGTTATGCCAGCTGCTACTGCACTTACCTGAAAACTGCTTTTCATCTAAAAAATACTAGGTAGTATATGATAGATATTTGGGRAAAAATTACTGAGAGAATCCCAACATAAGTAGACTTCCAGAAAATTCGATATTTTACAGAAGCTAGTTTCTTCTGATCCATACAAAATATATTACTCACCAGGACTTTGATCTGCTAGTCCTGSTGTGCTGCTTTTTCTCATGGGGGAGCTTTTGAGGAAAGAAAATTGATTCAGCCTTAAGTTACAAGCATCAACAAGTGAATCTGAAGAGATTAAAAGCTGCATGTGCAGCAAGAGTACAAGTGTTTGGAARCAAGAGAGTTTCCAAACTTGCCTGTTCTCTAATTAGGTATTGATGCATGGATCTCTTGATTGTAAGTTGCACTTAAAGCACATACTGACTGTGAGCTGTGCCTTAGAAATTTGAGAGAGCATCCTGCAGCTGSTGCCTTCTGTCAATCAGAGCTTTCACTTCTCAGTAAATTTCCTTGAAAACAACTGCTTCTTCAAAAATATTGTTGATTGGCTYATGAAATGTGATACATTACGTGTGTGAGTGGTC